CTTATATTTCTTGGGGGCGTAGACTTGATGGATGTCACTGTGTCGGTTGACCGAGTTTTCCGATGAATGCCAAGCTTCAAAAATTCTCTTGCATGCTTGTTGAGGGCCTGATCGACGACTTTGTTGTTTTCGATCATTAAAGAACCAGAAAGCCAACCAACAAAGGGCAAAGCCTCTAAGCCTAAGAGCAGTTTAATTTGAGACGCATAAAATAATGGTCTTCTGACTATAATTAAAACTGCAGTAATTGAATCCCACTAAGTGAAATTAGGGCTCAGCGTTCAACTTTGATAAGTAATGGTAACTGGTCTGTAATAGGGCATCATGCATAAGAATCCCAAATTAAAAGGCAGATAGGTCATTTCATTTGTTTATTTCAAAATGAACGCACTTAGAAACACTCTGTGGCTATCGAAAAAATTCCGAGGGCCGTGATAAGCCACCTTGTAGAGTAGACTGAATGAATACATTTGGATTGAGTGCATGAACAACATAAATACAAATAATTTGTCTTCTCTCTGAAGAATTAACGAATTGTCAACAGTGAAAATGGAGAACATGGAAGAAGAAAACAAAATTGTATTGCATTGCATCTTTTAATATAATATGATTATAGGACAATGAAAAAAAAATGCAGCCAAGCTATCAAGCGGAGATTTCAAGAAAATGTCTGCGAGATCGAGTTCCTTCAAATTTCTGCTACCTGTAGTGCTTCACACGCGCTTTCCATTCAGCTATTGAAAAACAGTGCATATTTTTCCTAGCGATGCTTATGACTTTGGTTTATGGAAAAATACCCCTATCTTTTGTGCAACCGAGAAAAATAATTGTTCCTTTTGTGATTTTCATGGTGGAGAAAGTGAAATTCAAGCAAACGACCTTCGTACACGGAAGCACAGCCGGGCAAAATTTTCCGATCAATGTTAACCACAGAATGTATACAGTATAAATATGAGTAATGAAAATCGATAAAAAATATAAATATTATAAATGTATAAATGTTTTCATGTGATAGAAATGTTTGTGATAACCAATATAGAGCACTAGACAGCTGTTTCGTCAACATCAAGAGTGCCTGATGCTTAAAAAACGAATGGGCTAATCCAAGCTTGCTACCCTTAAAGTTCACAAATATATTCAAGAGGACGTTGTTTTACAGTTCTCTTGATTTCATTCAGTAAAGTAGCTTTTTTACCGGAAGAGGTAGCTACTTCCGTTTATGACTATGTATGTTTAGACGAAGAGAAGAATTCATTGCCGCCCACATGGATGAGACTGACATTCTACTTGTTCTTGTACTATTCATGGGTTCATAAGCTTTTTGTGAGCTTTCACGTGGGGCTTTCGACAATGTAACCCTTATAATGGGGTGCTATCTTAGGAAGTCTTGACAAAAAATAGTACTGTCTATCGAAACTGAATGGAAGTGTCGTCAGCGTTTACGTAAAGCGATGTGAGGTGACACGATTAAGGCTCTGATCGGTTTAGAAGACCGAAGTATGTAGCCGATTGTTATGGAAGAGAAGGTTGGTACGATCACCGAAACAGCGTAACGCATCAGGACAAGAGAAAACGTGGGTCACTGGATCATGTGAAACCGGTAAAAGACAAGATTACTTTACAACTCATAACGGTTCTATGATTGTAACTTCGATTCAAATAAGTCACCAACGGCCGAAAACAGAAAAGGCTGACCAAAACCTAAAGGGTGTGAATGCGTGAATGAAGGACCGTTGTTTGTTTCACTGCAACTGCGGCAAAAGACTCGTTTCTCCTATTTTCTGGGGAACCAAATACTATCGCATGCTACTGACGAAAGGGATCTGGGAGTTATGGTACAGGACGTAGGATGTTCCATGCTCTGTGCCAGAGCATCATCCATGGCTCTAAAGCAGGTTGGACCACGTAAGCGTGCCTTTGGACAGTTCGAAATAGCACTGTTCCCACGCTTGTTATCATCGTTCGTTCTGCCACACACGGAGTACGCTGTTTGAGTATGGAATCCCTGGTTGAATCGCGACAAGAAGAACATCAGCAAAGGTTGGCAAGAAAAATGGTAAAAGGTCTGTATAACAAGACATACTCAGAAAGACTGCAAACAATGGGGTTTTACTCACCTCAATACCGCTCAATGACCCCTCTATGTTTTGTGATACCCTGACTGAATACTTGAAGTTCTGTTATGACACGTGCTGCCCGTGGGAAACGTTATACATACGATCAGACCGCTTTTCGTCCCCCACACTTAAACGATTGCGTCGGAAGAAAGAACAAGCTTTCAAGGCGAAAAAGTATTCTTTGGTGAGAGACCACTCGAAAGCAATCAAGGCTGAACTGCGGAGAGTAAACGCCGCTTATGTGCATGCACTGCTGACAAACAGAAATTGTCGGGATACATGGAAAATGGTGTTTGAGTTCTGAGGCCTCAAAGCGAAGGGGAATCTTCCAGCTGCCAATGTGGACGATATCAATCGCCAATTCGGCAATGCTGAAACCGACACCCCTATTCCATCCACAGCAGTTACCCCCTCTCCTGATGTTGTTAATTTAAGTACTGCTCAAACTGAAGTATTCAAAACCTTCATCAACCTGAGGTATAATAGAGCATGCGGTCCTGATGGACTGCCACCTGTTGTGCTCAAAGAATGTGCAGCCTCCCTTTCCCCTGTTTTCACCAACCTACTCAACCTGTGTTTTACTAAACATTGCATTCCGGACTGCTGGAGAGTGGCTTCTATCACACCAGTACCCAAAAAGGGATCCTCTGAATTTCGCCCGATTGCTTGGACTTTTGTGGGTTTGAAAGTCATGGAAAAGATTTTAC